AGGCTGCTGTGGTAGTAGGTTCAGGGGTAGTAGTAGGTGCTTGTGTTGTTGCTGGAAACCACCACCACCAGTTTGAGGCTGCTGTGGTAGTAGGTTCAGTGGTCGTAGTAGGTGCTTGTGTTGTTCCTGGAAACCACCACCACCAGTTATAGGCTGCTGTGGTAGTAGGTTCAGTGGTCGTAGTAGGTTCAGGTGTTGTCAATGGAAACCACCAACCCCAGTTTGAGGCTGCTGTGGGAGGCAGAGAGGGTGACGTAGAACCTCCCCCGATAGAACGGATAGAACGGTGTGGGACCAAGGGCGATCTGCCGGACGATGTGCCATCTGTGTACGTTAAACTAACATACTGCCTTGGAAAATCCTCCAGCACGATTTCAAACAGATGATTCGTCTTTAATGAGTAGTGGTACGATAAGGTACATGTATTCTGGAAAAAGCAGAAACTGTGGTTACATACACATATACAGCAAGTTCAAAACACTGGAAAAATTAACCTGTTTTTGACCCATGGATTTACATGATAAAAATATGCATATATGGTAAATATATACTAATTCAGTATATTGAAAATATTACAGACAGCTGGGACTTTTGCATGAAAGCTGAGTTAAATAAGCGCTTTAATATGAAAAAAAATATTATTGCAATATAATTTATTATATAAGCAATTGCAAAAGCATTTGTTGTTAGTGGATACTATCAGATAATTTCTAAATTAGAATAAGAAAATTAAACATACAAATAAGCTTATCGAGCTGATTCATAAATCTAAAGTTTTAAAATCTGAATTTAAAATTTTAAGTTCTTCATTAATACAGTATAGAAACAGGGATGTTGAGCAATATTTTCATTAAAACAAAGGTACTGTAAATGATTTTTTAATTTCACCCATTGTCTGTTTTGTGAAGTCATGAAGTCGTGCTCTTTGGGGGAGTCTGTTAAGTGGTATGTAGAGCTTTTTGTTTATTCCCGAAGTATATGTTGTTTCTAGAACCCTTTGCTGTATGTGTATGTCATGATTCATTACTCTATGGTTCTTTTAACCTTACTTCATCAAGGCTGAAATCTGGATGTGTGTTGCAGGAATAGCATTCCGAGTTTGACCTCAATCCATATCTGCATCTGACATGATCTCCATCTGGGTCATGTGCCAGTAATCTGTATGTTATTGGACAGTTTCGGGGGACTCTGATAAACACAAAATAAGACAGCAGGTAATTTTAAAGCAAGTTATATTTCATACAATGCATTAGTACAAGGCATGATTTATCTCTAATCTCAAAATGCTTCTCAAGACACAGGAGTACAATATATAAACAATCTATATTGCCATACCTGATTACTGGTGGAAGGGTAGTTACTGGA